ATTCACAAAGCGTTAAACTTGTAATTGGCCGCCCACGCTCTCCGCCTTCAGAGCGACTTCTGGCAGATACGCTTTAGCTTTGTCAGTGTGATAAGAATTTCTAAACAAAAACCACGACTATAATCGTTCAGTGCAGTTTACATGTAGCTCTCCGGCTCTTGCAAGTGCTGAACATTGCCAATTTACTCTCAGCAAATCACGTGTTGCTTTGTTACTTTAAAAATTAGAGTGAATCGACCTCTTATGAAACTAGATGGTAAGAACATTATCTGTGTTTGTATAAGGTTTTCTTATAATTGTTCGATTTTTTAGCAAGTTTTGGGTGTATATAATATTATACTTTATAAAGTTTAATTTTATATTAATTCAGTTATATAGTTTAAATTAAAAATGCTTATAAGTTAAAACTCATTTCACATAAAAACTGAATTATTGTACAAATGATCACTTATTTTTTAATTTACGCAATATTACGTACATAAAAATGTAACCATCGTAAAAAACCAACAATACAAATACAGATAAATAGATAATGTTCTTTCATAGTAGGCCGATTCACTTTTATTTTTCGAATTAACGATGATGAAAATTAAGTATGAACTACACATGATCTCAGAACTGGACTGAGCAGGCGGGATACCTGGAAACTCCCGGTGGGCCGCTTGTATTCCTAGGGAAGTTTTTTCTTCAGGTTTATCGGTTTTATCGGTTAAGACTTAAGGCTCATCCTGTCGACGGATGTAGACGCATTTTCTAATGCGATCGTACTAGAAAACTGTCCAGTGATGGCTCGTGACTGTCGGACATAGGTGTGTGACAAAATATTATGGAAATTACTTAAAATCATCGCTGGTGGGATTTTTTTCATGGGCCCAAGAAATTTTTTTCATAAAGCAAAAACTTCCTACTTAGGTACTACTAAGAATTTTTTTCTATTTTACGTAATTTACCTAAAAATATTTTTTTTATATACACAAATACACAATTAAACAAAGTATTTAAGAATTCGTACACTCTTCAATATGTATTTACTAATTTATTCCTTAAATCATTAAGCTACAGATATTATTTTGCTCATAGGTATTTTGCTATTTCATATTAAAATAAAATATGTTCCAATTAAATGTTTAGGACCTTAGTACCTACACTAAGTACAATCAATACAAGTTTTATACAAAAATTCAAGATCTTAACATCAAAATTGTTTTGGACGTAGCCGTCGTACGTCGGCATTACCTATAATTTATTTTTACTCTCACTCGTTTTCTATAGATATTTCAATTATTAAATTAAAAAGTATAAAAACCCACAAGCCGCTATCGCAAACGGAACTTATATTTTCAATTTGAAAAACAAAATTATAGGCTTAAAAATCATCAAATTCCATGAAAGGCGAGGGCCCTAAAATGGTGGGGCCTAGGGCAGCTGCCTCTTCTGCCCTGCCCTTCCACCGGCGCTGCTTAAAATAGATATGAAAAAATGTATACGTTGTCAAAAATAGATGCTTGTGTCATATTATTGTCTTCGTTAATCTGTAATCCCTACCTTATCCTCCGCAAGTCTGCAACGCTTAAAATGTGTGACAATTTATTATCATCACACGAACTTCCAACCTAGCTATTCCGTTGCCGCCGAAATCATAATCGACACAATTTCGCAAAAGAGCCCAAACCCTAACAAATTGCTTAATATGTATAAATGTGTATTCTGGAGTCTAAACATATGTATTTTAAATAAAAATGATAACATTTCTTTGTACTAACCAATTTTTTATTATTTTTATGTTTTAATAATAATATTAAGTGTTCAAATTCTCAAAATAATATACAATCATTTCGTAAGAACATATTTGTTTCTTTAGGGTTGTTTTTATAGTTATACCTAAGTGGCACGATTTTTTTTCATTTTACCAGCAGAAATTTTTGACCCAGTCCGGCCCTGTATGATCTGCTGAGCGTACATTTTGCTGCTACGCACTTAAAAGACGGAGACAACAAATGCCAGTATTAAGTCCTTTTGAATGCAATAAATGTTATTACTGTTATGATAATTAAATATTTTGAAAATTGCATTTCATTAAATAAATTATAATTTAAATTGTATAATCAATTTCTACGATTAATATTTTTTTTTAAATAACTACAAAATAAATTATTTTATGATAAATCATTACTTTGCGTGTAAATATAAATTGCTAAAAAATTGATTTTCTTATCTTACTTAATAAAAGGAACCACCAGGGCTTAAAGTGGGAAAAAAATCCAAGGGGGACTAATATCTTCATATAGATGAATGTTAAACTAATGTTCCATAATATATAATTTTAAATATAATGTCTAATGCATGTATACTATATAGTATATTGTATATGTAATCGTAAAGCATTATGTGGTAAACGCGTGCATCAAATCGTCAAGATCATGATGGTTTCGAATAAAGAAATTTTAACTTAAAACAAATATGAGAGTTGAATGTATACGTGCAGGTCATCTTGAGGACTATAAGGTACTCATACACTAATAATTAAATGATTTTGTGAACATTTGAAATTGTTCTTGGAGTTATTAGAAAGGTTTAGAGAATAGGTGGTTTAAACCATGTTCGATTTAAACCAAATGCTATATCCCATCCACTACAGGCAAATTGTCCATCTCGGCCGAATTTATTTACAGAGCAAGGAGCACAGATCCAACTTTGCACGTCAGCTGAAGTACGCCAAAACCAAGATGCACCTATTTATACATATAGGATGTAGTGGATGTACACTGTACAGTCTACCTATTTTTTCATTTTTTTATCCGTTAATAGACTCAAAAACTAGGTAGGCACCTGCCTACTGGACCGTTTTTAATTAATTCCTTGAGACTTGGAGGGTGCTGACGGCTTATGTTTTCAATTCCTATAAGTAGCTCAAAGATAATTTTTTTCTCAGCTTATAAAAAAGAAAAACATTTTTATTTATCTACGTGGTTGCTATGCAGGTTACTTAATATATAACTGTTATAACTTATAACTTATAATTACACAAAATATGGTACATACTACACTTGTTTGCAAATACATTTACTAAAATACAAATCTTTGGGCTCACCGCCCCGGCAAAATGAGGCGGGAAATCTAGTTTATATTTACCTGAAGACTTAACTTTTTCATTATGCTTAAACAGAAATGTGAACTATCAATAAATATTGTGCACAAATTGTCGTCGCCAAATAATTATAATTAAACAAACAACTAATATTTTACGTATTTAAAATTAATGCTGTAATTGTGTGCAAATGTAAAATATTTAATAATTTTTAGAGTGGATTGCTCCCTTATGAAGTTATTATTTAAAATTATATAAAATTCATAGATTAGAAAAACACAATTTTTTTTAAATAATAAGCTTTCCTATAGAATACCTAAGTCTATAAATTGAGTTTTATATCAATTTCATTAATTTTTAAAATATATTATAACTTGTAGGTACATAATAATTAAATTCATTCAGATATACTCAACATGTTTTGTCGTACCAGCTTAAATAGGTTTTTGTAATTAAGTTTTTATTTTGAAATATTACACAATTGTTGATCATAAAATAATGCAGAGTTATCATAGTCTACTACGTGTCAAAAGCTTCAGTAGTATTGAATTCATTAAAAATTATACTGTTGAACTTGGAATTATTTATGTTAATTAAAAAATATAAATATTAGTAACAAAAAAGTATTCAATACGCAATTAAAGAACACCTTTATTTATAAGAAGGATAAGTTCAAAACGTATGGCAAAAAGGTAACATTTAAACATTAATTGGTCATAACATGTAAGTATAGAGGATTAAGGGTATATCGATATGGCAATCCTAACGTTATTAAAACAGTTGTGTTTATTTTGTATGTACTAATGTCTAGAAATCAAGAAAAATAATAAAATATTTACAGACAAGTAATAGCATTCTCAATATTAATAAATAATATTTAAATTCATAAAAACGAAAGTAATGATTTGTACTAGTGTTTTGCTGATATATCATCATACATAAATCAACTCAATGCAGCAAATGGCGAGTTGTAATTGTGTAAAGAGTTTCATAACGTCTAGGCATCATGATGGGATTTTTTTAGGCGGATGGGTAAGGGTAATTTTAGGTAAAGAATGATGTAATTATCACTTATACAGTTTTCTTCAAATTGTGTTTATACAAAAATTTCAAAAATTTTACCTACTGCATAGGTTCTGAAAAATATACCAATGAATTATTATTTATACACACTCACCATGCTATTTAGGTAGTTCTATTTGATTCAGCTATAAACATTTTAGGTATTTATTATTAGGTATGATACATTTTATCTTATCATTTATATAGGTTATTAGGTTATAAGATTTTCTGAATTGTGTATAGAAAAAGTGGTGATGATCAAGTACATATTAGTTCTTATATACCATAGGTTCCCAACCTATGGTCCGCGGACCACTAGTGGTCCGCGAGACATTGTCATGTGGTCCACGAGCCATACTTACAAAATGTAAAAATATTTTAATAATTTCATTTTCCTTTGAGGCATAACACTAACTATTGATAATCGTGTATAGTAGGTCGTTTCTTTATAAATTTATATTACATAGTGAAACCCATGTTATTAAAAGCCTTTATTCATGTAATAATAATCAAAATTCTAAAATATGTGAAAAAAAAATTGATTCTTATTTATAAGAAAAATAAGGTATACAATTGAGGTGGTCCGTGACGTATAGAAAGTTCTCATAGTGGTCCGTAGTACCAAAAAGGTTGGGAACCACTGTTATATACCTACCACCACCAATATTTTTCACATTCAATTGAGAAGATCCTATTTAAACGATATGCAAAATGATACTAGGCTGCTGCAGATTTCAGTGAACGGACATCAGTAAGAAATATACTAAAAAAAAAATGCTACTAAATTAAGAAACACTTTATACATAGTTAAAATATATTTATAGTTGATAACATATTATATTTAATTATAATAACATTTCTTAGCATTATTCTTCAAGTTAATTAACTATGCTATTTTTTAAACTCTAATATAATAAAATGAACACTGTGAAATATACCTATAATGTACAACTTAATACATAATATAACATACATTCAAAACAATATAATATTCTTATGGAAGAAAGGTGGAACTCCCAAATTTCTTTCTACTTTATCTCTAATTTAACAAACTATAAAATAATTTTTATGATTTTTCACTAAACTTTTTGAATGAGTTTCCTGTTTTAAAATGTTTTTCACCGGTATCCCAATTAAATTGTTTTATTAACGTTATGAATAATTTGGTGTCCACTTAATGATATGCATTAGAAAAACATGTATACAAATGTTGAATTTGAATGACTGTTCTCCAGTATGAGTTCTAATGTCATTAGATGTTTTAAGTATCCTTCAGTAGAAGCCATTTATTTGAATTTTAAATTTAAAATTAATTTTCTCCTGGATGAATCCTCTTCACATGAAGCTTTAAAGTATCTATCCTTGAAAATGAGGAATCACAAAAATTGCATTTATGTGGTTTAACTCCAGTGTGAGTCATATTGTGACGTTTTAAGAGCCTTTCGTCTAGAAAACATTTATCACAAATATCACATTTATATTTAAATTCTCCCGTATGAAGGTTAATGTGAGTTTTTAAATTATCCACCCTTGAAAATGATTTACTACAAAAATTGCATTTATATGGTCTATATCCACTATGAGTCTTATAGTGACGTTTCAAGGTTCCTTCATGTAGCATCGTTATATCACAGAAATCACATTTAAATTGTTTTTCTCCCGTATGCATGTTACTGTGCATTTTTAAATTACCCATCCTTGAAAATGATTTACTGCAAATATTGCATTTGAATGGTTTTTCCCCAGTATGAATCCTAATATGAACTCTTAAGTGTCCTGCAGATAAAAACCGGTTATGACAAGTACTACATTCAAATTTTTTCTCTCTCATATGATGCTTAATGTGAGATATTAAGCGCCTTCTTTGTAAAAAATGTTCTTTACAAATATCGCATTTATAAGACTTTTCAGCCTTGACTTTGTGTTGAGTTGGTATTGATGCAATCACATTATCTTTAGTTATTATCTGAGCTCTTAAACTTGATATTGTATGTTTAGAATCATTTGCGTAACTGAAACAATAATATATACTTTTATATACTTGGCTATAATGACTTACTGCTTAAACATAACAATTAACGATATTAATGCAATAATAATTAACTTCAATATTACATTTTTTACATAGCTTGCTATAAGAAAAATAGTTTCCATGACATCAAAATGGCTAAATCTACATGCATAATGAAAAAAAGAGGGTAAATGGGTGACCTCTGCTGCACACTTGGTTACAATTTGAAGTGGGTCACTGTAATGGATGGTGTTAAATTGTAATTCAAGGATATAATATCATTGTATACAAAAAATGATTCTGAGCAGACGGTTTATTGGCCCAGGATATTTTATATTATATTTATACTCTAAAAGTTTCAAGTACCCATAAATAATATTTTTAATTTACAACAAAATAAGTCCAAACATTACCCTCAACAATGTACCAAATCACACATCAAACACTGTCAGATATTTAGGATTAATCCTTGACAAAAGACTGACATGGAATAAACACTTTCAAACCAAACAACCAACCTTAAATAATCACATGCATATGCTCAGACCTCTGTTAATTATAAATAAGTGCTCCACCTTAGACATCAAACTATTAATCTACAAAGCTCTACTCAAATCAATCTGGACATACGGACTTCAACTATGAGGTGCGGTCGTGCGGAAAAAAAATCTAACAGTAATAGAATCAAAACATTCCAAAACATATCACTCCAAAGATTATCCGATGCTGCACCCTACGTCTCTAACATAACTTTTCATAACAATCTACATAAGAGAACAATAAAAGAGGAAGCATGTATTTTGTACACAAGTTTCCTTTAACGACTCCAAACCCATTCTAACTCTCTCATAAAAGATCTCTCCGTCCTTACTCTCCCAGGAAATCCTAACTGCAGATTAAAAAGGAAGACAAGTGGAGCCGTGACCTTTTACGAAATTTAAATGTCTAACGTCTCTAGTCTGAAAAGTAGCAAAAAAAACTAATTAATCAATAACCAAGAGTCACTAATGGGTGGCTGATGGTGGTTACTTCATCACACCTTACATGTTATTTTATTCTTATCATTTAAACTTATTGAGCTAAATTGTATAGATTGTTTATGTCAAATAAAAATAAAAATAAAATTACGCAATGCTTAACAAGTTGTTGGTCATGTCTATTTTTTATTACTTCATTAGTCGCACAAAGAAAATTTCTTTGTTATTCTATGTAACCAAAACATATTTACTGTACAAATAATGCTACCTATCTATAATCATTTTTTAAATGTATATATTTGAATGTTTACATAACCATATACATCATATAATACATTACAAATGTAATTAATGAGTATTAATATTATTGTTTTTATTTGTCACACATTAGATAATTTTTTTCACTATGTAAATATTGATTACATTAGACAAATACTGGCAATTTAAAATCAATTAAAATGGTTTATGCAAAATAATAATTTTTAGATAAAGTTATACTTTGAAAGTAGAGTACCAGTTAATCTCATTGAAATCTAGACGTAAACTTTATTGAAGCATATTGATATTATGTATATAAACTTTAAAACGGTTTTACCAAAAGCCTGGAATTATTACGAAAGATTTCATATAATGTACCACAAAGTGCCATTCATAATTTTTGCTGTTTCTATCTATACTGATACATAAGTAAAAATTTTGTTTGTAAGAACTCTCTCTCTCTATAAACATATATATGTATATAGTTATATTGAATGTTAAATTTCTATGATGAGTTAACAAATTTTTACTTTTTAATAGATGATAAGACATAGTTAAAACGTTATGCCTTAAATGTAGTAGTTTATGTATTGATATGTTTAAAATTAAATTAACTATACCATTGCCCCAAGTGGGAGTATTTAATAAACAAATAAATAAATAATATAATATATTGTAGAGAGTAGTACATGAATGCTTAACACAATAAAACAATATAATAGGTAGTGGTAACTTAATTAATACTAAGATGAGAAAATGTTTTGCAATTCACCGGATTAAGGTTTTACCATAGTAATAACTTATGAGATGTTAATTTTTTACCTAAAACCACAGATCTAAAATAATATATTCTATTTTATAATACTTAATATCTGTATATATAAAACAAAATAATATTAAATATCAATTTTGCGAACATAAAATATTATCTTTTTATAAATATAATAAGTTATAAATAATAATTTATAGTAATGGTTAAAATATTGTATATTCACAGAATATAATAATATATTATATATTTTATAAATACAAAAGTTAAAGCATTAACCGCATTATTTAGAAAAGAAAAATATAACTATTTACTCAGTGTCCCATACATGTTTATATATTCAATAATCATTAATCATAATTTATAGATATTAATTATTAGGTACTTATCATTATATTTTTATTTGTGAATTTGGTTATCATAATTCAGTTGTGGACCATTATGTTAACAAATACATAAAAATACTTTAACTATTTTGTTGGACTTTATCATTGATTAAAGGATATAAGTAGGTACTTACAGCAATTCATTGTAATGCATGCATTTATTTAAAACCGTACGACTTTTATTAAATTACTATGTTATCTGCTAGTTTAAGCCATAATTATTAATTTTATATGAAACACAAAAAGTAACTGATTTTTGACTAAGCTAAGTTACTCTTAGTTTCTAATAAACTTGTAACTAACAAAAGTTTAAATAAAGTAAAAGAAACATTTAACTTTAAACCTAATTTAAATTTTTCTATATGAACTTGAGAAGTTAAAAAATTAGTTAACCTGCCCAGCCTACAATCACTTAGTATAGCTAATTAGTTTTACCGATTTTAAGAAATATTAATTTCATATTAAACCAAATTAACAACCAAAATATTGTTATGGCAAATGTATTTAAAGATGGTCAATTAAAAATGAATGAGAATCATGAAAATAAAATAAGCAACTGGCAATCGGTTAGCGTTAGCCCATGAGGCAAGTAATAAAATACTTATATACTGATATACTTTCATATACATTGTGATAAAAATTACCTTCCAAAATGTTTGATGGATCTATCATAAACTGTAGTCCTCGACATTTTTGATCTGGTTTGAAAATAATATTATCTAAACATAAAGATAAAAAATATTTAAACATTATCTAAAAACTAAATAGTGAGTTAGTAGTATACAATATTCAATCAAAATGCAACTTAATATGTAAAATTATACCCAAGTTTCTAAATGTTTTTTGAAGTTTTTAACAGTTGTTTAGTAATAAATAACTAGACACCGCCCTAGCACCTAAGTTCTCTCCTCAACCGTACACACTGCATCATTGTCGCTCTAACCCAAGTGAGAGAATATCGAAAATAATATGATAAGATTGCGGTGTCTCACTGCTATACGTCCAGTATATAAGTGACGGATTCAAATCCTATACCGTGAGTATTTTTTCATTTAATTCTCGATGACCAGCCACAACACTAACAGCAGCATCAAATAGCTCTCCACCAAGGAACCGAACCCTGGTCTACCACATTAGAGGGGATACTAACCAATATATTACCTATTAAGTGACTCTTAATTTTAAATTATCAAAGAAAATTAACATGTAATAGGAATATTAATGTCATAATATTAGCATTTAATTGTACCACTGAGAAACTGGGTACAAGTGCAATAAAGACAATTTGTCAATGTTAATTTCTTCAGATGGCTACAAAAAATTTAAAAATTGGACTTAGCTATTCAGAGGAAAAATGTTGTTACCAGTACAACAAGTATATGTGAGAAAAATTGTTGTGAATCGGACATAATTTGTAAGTTTGATGTTTTCTAATACAAATAAGATTCATGCACAGCTTATTATACTACCATCTAAAGTATGTATCACTAGTATTTCAGATATTATTAAACATTTGAGAAATTAATATTTAAATGTAAAAGATGTTTTGTTTCCTGAAATCACCTTGAAATCACCACAACTTTTTAATAAATTTTAACAATATCAACACCTCCAGCTAGGGCTGAATGTTTGTTTAATGTATTTAGAAAACTAAAACATATTTGAGGTCCATAGTAGCCCTAAAAAGATTAACTCATATTATGATAATTTTACACGTCTAGATGTTAATACAAGTATGTTGTTCAAGGTCTAAACAGAATTTAGAATTTAGTATGTATATAATCAATAATACTGATTCTAATATTTTTATAATGTTCTAAAAACCCTCAAAATGTCTCTTAATAATACTCAAAATAGTAAAATGAGCTGAAAATATATTTTTTTTTTATTTCACATTGTTTAAAAAAATGTACATAAGTTACAAAAAGAAATATATGAATAATGGTATATGTTCATATTAAACTTGATAAATGTATAGTATTTAGACATTTACCATCCATTAACTGCATTCATATAATAATATGCATACAATTGAAAATAATTATGGTACACCTATTAATACTGTCTCATTTGAAACAATTGAAAAATTTCCTATTTAATAAAAAACAAATTACTGACCAATTTTTATAATTTTTAATTTACAAATATTTTTTATCCTGCAACATTTTACTAAATTACAACCCAAGATATTAACAAATATGGTTTTCTTATGAACAATAATACAGTACATACCTAATTTGTTATACTTTATTTAAATTGACCAGTACCTATTAAATTTTAAAATGTTTATAATGTGATATTTAAAATTATATTATATTATAATTATAAAGTTGTTTGTAGCTATTACTGCTATTTCTATTATTAAATTTATATTTTATTTAACTATTATATATTGAACCATCAAATTGAATCTTATCAAAAATGTACTCGGGCATCATATTATATTTGTAGTGTTATTAGAAAATTATTTTATAAATGCGCAACATTAAAAAACATTCTTAATCACAATGTTAGAATTACTTACATTGCATTAGCTCAATTAATGTTAATCAACTATGGAATTTCGTGTTTGGAGCACAGATTTTAAGTCATGTCTTTCCCACTAAACATATCATTAAAATATACCTAATCTATTAGGAATAATTTTAAATAAATCTGGACTTTACTCTTTCAGTTTACTCTATTCTGAACTCATTGTTGGATAATTTAAATTCTATTTTTATAAAATTTATCTATTGTATTTGTACTCTATTAGTATATTAACATAAAAGGCTTTAAGTTTACTTATAAGTATAGTTTTAGGAGTAAAGAAACCTCTAATATTAAATCTGTTTTGTGTTCTACTACTTTTAGGAAATGTAGCTTGATTGATGTAAGTAGGTATAAAATGTTGTATCTTTTAAATCAAATAAATAAAAAGTTTAAGATGCATACTGCATGTCAATACTCCAATATCTATAATATACAACTATCCACTATCCAATACAACAAATAACAACTATTTTAAATATAATAAAATTGCTCTATTATATTACCAATTATTTATATTTGCGTATATTTATATATATAGGTACCTCCTACCTAGTTTGTTCTAATTAACATTTTTATAAATCACATTAAATTTTTAAAAAAAAATACTATATTATAACAAACTCTCTTTTTAATACAAGCTTTGCCTATAAAAAGATAACCAATGATTAATGTAGGTACGTATATTATCTATTATTTGAACACCTACCTATATATTATTTATGTAATTTGGTGTCAATAAAATATTACAATTATATTATAGTCTCGTGGTGAGGATAAGTAAATGGCCAAATAGATTACACCATAAATTGAAACATAATATAACACAAGGCCTAAAAAAAAACAATAAAATGTCCACAGCAGGTAATTAGTATAAGTATATTAAATTATCATACAAGGGCTATGCATGGTATACAGGTAGGTGGATGTTTAATTGATTAATAGATACTACTATTGTTATAACTAACTATAATTATTTAAAAACACAAGATTATTGAACTTGGTGGGAAGCAAACAATTTGTAGTTTGGCGATAATTAAATAAAAGGCACAAACAGGTAATAGGGCTAGAATAATTTGCAGCTGGGTTAGCAGAAATAATGATATCAATTAATATAGGTGGTTCAATGGTTCATAATAAACAATAATGATCAATACAACATATTATAATGCAATATTGTAATAACATAAACCTACAGCAATAATAAAGCCGAGGTCTTTAAACAGGGAAACAAATTAATTTCATACTAATATCTGAAGCATCAACAATAATTTTTAATAACATCTTAACAATATTCATTATTCATAAGTCATAACTACTGGTTCACGAATAACTGAGAACATGTGTAAACTTACATAAATAATAATCAGCTTGCAATCGCGATACGGCGCTTTCCGGACGGTGCCTCGGCGTCTTCAAACGACAAACGGCGACAAAAAGTAAAGTGTTAGGTAGTTGAGACTTTAACGCGTGAAGTAGATACCATAGAACATAATAATTTTGAGCGCGAAACAATGTGGCAGCGTCGTCTTGGCCCAAACGCACAATAATCATAACGTTATTATAATGGAACAGAATTCATTATTATTATTGTCATTATTCTATTAGACGTTTATTTCTCGGCGGGACAACGATAGCGAATATTTCGCACATCGTAAAGAGCGGTTAATCTAACCTAACAATCAATATTATTTACGGTCGCTATTTAAATCGCCGTTCAATAGTCGCGTCCGGACGGTAAACTTTGGCCATGCGGCGAAGTGAGCGCGACGTACTGACGTCACAAATTCGTTTCCTGTTGCTTTTTCGGAAGAATCCAAAAATACAGATCGACCAATGGTAGGCTGCTTACATCGAACGAAAGCCGCGTCTGCGTGGACGTATTTCCGGCAAGCCGGCTCGGCAACAGTGATTATTTTCATGCGTTTTAGACGTATTTATTTTAAATCGATGTTTTTTTCTTTTTCGGAGTAGTTATTAAAATTTAAAATATGCACCTGTTCTATATTATAGCATTTTTTCTGGTAGGAAAGCGAATCTAGTTGGTACTCTGAGCATTTGGAGGGTCAACAGTTCCCTGTGGTTTTGAATGAGGGTCTCGAAAAAACAAAAACAAAATTAAGGAAAATTGGAAATGGTCAAACTCAAAACTTGCAACTTTCGGCTGAAATTCGATTAAAATATGTTTCGTGTTGATCAAAAACAAATCACCGTAATAGGCTACTTTTTTTCTGTTCGTTCTAACATTTTCAAAATATTTGGACTCCTAAGCTATTTATAGCCGTGAGACATTTTCAATTTGTTGAGGTTTTTTTCAACTATTGTCGATAAATAATTTTGAGCTCGACAAAATAAAATAAAATAATACACACAATTAATTGTACAAAGTTCTACACAAGTTGTTAACCTAGAGTAACTAAAAAAAAAAGTTTATCGTTATCTACAACATTTTTTTATGATTGTCTGAAACTCTGAAGTTAGAATTTTTACTGAAATCGAACTTTTTTATGGCGCTTGAATTAAAATTTTTACTTTATTCGATATTCACCTGTGAAATTCCCTTAGTACAATTTAACGAAAAACTACGAAATTTGCAAATTATTTGATAACTGTTTTTCTGAAACGCGGCTCGTGGCGCATTGGTTTTGACTTTCGAGTGTTTCGACGTATGTCGAAGGGCGATGGTTGTCGGTTTACCGTGTCGTTGCCCGTCGGCGTAATGCGTATGGTAATAGTATAAACAGACAAACAGTGTAGAAGCTATATAATCTAATGTCAAGTGTCAAGTAGGTCTCGAACTCTCGACGCGGGAGATTTTGATACTGCGTCTACCCGTAGAATAAAAAAACAGATACTTAGAAATAATAATTAAATCAAAACAAACATAAAAATGTATAGAAGTATTCGTGCCTGAATTCAAAATAATATATTATTAACTTTTTGTTTGCTTATTTTATTATTGAAAGCCACAAAACCCAAAAACTATAAATACCTACCTAAGTAGTTATTTCGATGGAAATATTATTTTATATAGTGATTTGGTCGACGGTTGCCTTCCGCCCGACAGTTTCAGTCATGACCGTTATCGCTGGATTGTCGGAGGAGGGCGGGAGAATTAGCAGTATTATATATAGGTATTAAGCTCTATCGAAACAAGATTCACGACAATATAATATGCCGTGCCGGCGATAGTCACTGTATATACGTCTGTACGCCGTCATAATTTATTATAGTTTATTGTAGAAGCTAATTAAAGTCTTCACAAAATATTTACTCACGAGCCGCTTTATTGGTTAATGCAGATACTAGATACTAGATAGTATTATAGTTGGTTATACGCTCATAAGAAGCGATCGTGGTAGACTGGTAGAGAGTATATTTTACACGAAATTAGATATTTAAATGAAGAACAACAATTTTAGTTATTTTCTTGTAAACTAAAATTATTACCTATTTATAAAATAACTTAAACAACAATTGATAACTAGTAATAATAACTAATAATAACTTAAACAATTATATCATAAAATATACTTAATATTATAGGCTGACAAACAGTTTTCGCTCAGAATCGTTTTTTGTACATACAATGATTTTATATCAATGAATTCAAATTTAACAGATCCATTATACAGTGACCCACACGACACTTGATATGCAGCAGAGCTCACTTGTCCCCCTTGTTTATTAAGATTATTTTTAAAATCATTATAATCGAAAAACAATTGCCGCTCGGGTAAATAGCACTCCAAAAAATTGCCATACCCATAAAATAAATTACTATATAATAATGGACACTGGACAGCGATACCGCAACTTTGCCAGCAGCAATAATAAATTAATAAATTAATAGTTCATGGCGAGATGTAAGTAAGTGAGAAACCATTGAAACTTCCCAAACTCATAGTTCTTGGATTTCTCATCCGCATGTTTCCCCCTCTAAGCAGTCTAAGCGCTGTCCATTCGGTTATGATTCCCCGTACACTATTACAACCACCGCTTAAAATTATAGTTGCGCTTCTAACATACAATTGTAACATAAATACATAATATTACAATAACCATATTATATATATTACCATTTTGAGCCGAATTTTTATAAAGGCTAAATAAAAAAAAATATATATATATTTCCATTGTTTTTCATTAGTCGGTGGTTATAATTACTGGTTATTCAGAGAAATGTCTACTTTTGAACGTTGTATTTGATTTGGGCTTTTGTTTATATTTGGCGAAACATTATTGTTTTTTTTTCCAAAGGTATTTCGTCGACAGTCGACAGTACCTATATTATAGCTGTACATACATTGTTATTGATATCAGACTTGTCAAACTTATATTATTTTTATAATACTATAGCCTATAGGTATTTTAACAAAAATTAATTATTAGTTATTAGTTATTACTATTTAGCTAGGTAAGTACTTGGAATTTGGATAATATAAGGACATAAGGTTCATACAATAAAATGTCGGTGGGCGCGTAAAATGTATTATTATTTATGGAGAGCCACCTTAGGCGAGTGACAAGTGTTACAATAGTTACGTGTACGGTGTACACTGTACGTTCTTGTGATAATTATTAATTATGTAGATAATAATGACGTGACTGCAGTCTGCAAGTGTCACAAAACAAGGGCTTGAAAAAAAAATAGTAAAATTTAAACAATAATGGATGGTAGTTTGAAACCGACTAGTGGACTAAATAAAATTTGAATTCAAGAACAAAAATAACTTAAAGTAACACATCGAAAAACGTAAGCTACTACCAGGGGTAGTTCAACCAATATTTCGAATTAAAAGAAAGAACTTGAATTTAATTAAAAAATCAGACGTACGGTATGTATCAGACGTACGTGTCACTTTAAAACTATTATAGTCGGTGATAAGGTGCCTACAAAATCATTGAGTAAAAAAATGCTATCAGACAAGGGAAGTTTCAAGTAATCAATTATTATTAAGTTCGATTTTATACTTGTTGTGCGATGCCGCGATGGACATAAATCCGCTGTGCCACGATCTACTGTATAACATCGTTCGCAGGTGACAGGTTCTCTCACTTGTCGGAACGAATCACACGGCGGCTCCGCGGAGCCGGGAATGAATCGTGTGCATTCGTGCCCAGTTCTATTTTTATTTGGGGATATCGTCTGGTCTTATCGACTATCGTTTTATTATTTTTCCTCGTAATGATGTTCGATTACGAAAACAATAATAACATACCAAAACACTATTATTTTGTTTTTATTTATAATGTTATTTAACTCGTATCATTGAACAATTATTAAATGCTCGTATTTAACTGTATTTTGTTTTTATTAAGATATTGTTTATAGGATATAAGCATATTATTTTTAATATTTTTTTTTTTAATAATATAATATTATAATATATTATCATCAGTACCCACGTTTCACATTGACCCATGTAATGGAGGCATACTTCATATTAGCTAAATCAGACGGTGTATGTCCTGTATGTATGTCTCTAATTATTTTCATATTTATTAGTCCATAATTTTTTTCTGGATGTATGTACACATTTTTCTGTAACTAAATCTCCTGTGTCTTTGTGCTTTTTATAATTTATTGTGTGCTTCAAGAATGCATAAGCTTTCTGACAAGGGCATAATATTTTGGTACAGTTGTTTTATTATAATATTATGTTCCACAAAACCAAAATTCGCAGGAATGTAGCTTTCATAATTTTTGAAATTTACATTTTCCATCAAATTATTGTTGCATATATTAATAGCGGTGGTTGTTTTCTAGATTTGAATTTATTTGTTTAATTTTTTTTAATGTTCACGATTATATCGAGTGGCTATACACCATCTCGTTATAAAAGGGTCTCTGGGTCTAAGGGGTTTAATTTATTATTTTAAGTTTAGAATACGCAGCTACCTACTTTATTATTTAATGAACTAACAGCTTTAATAAGTTCCAACAAAAAAAAATATTTAAAAAAACGACACAAATTCTATGTAGGTATGAAGACAAACAAATAACTATAATATAAATTCCATTGGTGAACTAGAGTCTAGACGTATTATTGTGCTGAAGTGTTTACTAGGTAGGAAACTAAGAACTTATTGATATATTATGTTGTGGCATGTGAGCATATAAGTACGTAAAATAAATGAGTAAATGACATTTGATAACGTAGAGTAGATATATTTTGGCCGTCGCCAAAAATAGTCTTGTTATGTAAGGCTTCATTATCTATAAAATTTATTGTCAGCGTATTTAATAGCGGCATATCGATACCTGAATGCCGTTTGGATAAAGCAGATAATGTTGAGTCGTTGTCAAAAATGCATGAAATATCTGAAAAACAAGAATCACTTAATTATTTAAAAAATATGAAAAATACATTTGGGTTAATTTGAATTAGAATGATTTAAATCGTATACATTTTTTAGTAGATTATAAATATCTCATTCCGATAAAAAATATGTATTTACAATAAAATCCGTTCCCTAATCATCAGTGAATAAATATATTAATTTTAATTTAAAAATGATTAGGAATTAAAAGGAAATGAGGTAAAATATTTGTAACCTACATTCTGTGATCCCCACGAGTCGATCGTCGAGGAGTCGATAAGGTACAATTCGCATATCGTTTCATATTAAAATAAAATAAATATCCTTCGAGCTAAATGTATGATAAAACAAAAAGTTATTTGTTTGATTGTTTCTGTAATTTTGCATATTATTTCTGTAATTTATATTAAAAGTTAAAGCTGGTTACACTGTACAGAGCGTCGAGCGATAAGACCTCTCG